AAACGATATCTATGTTGTTCATGATTTCATAAAATGATATGTACGTCATTCCACACTGAAAAAATCAAATGTTTGTTTCACATGAAAACAACGAGAAGAATAGCCAATCGTCCTTCACCACTTCACATTTCATTTCAATTAATACTAAGGAATACAAATAAGGGATATTGAGAATAAGATTGGGAAGTTTAAACTCCAATCTAATCATAAAATGAATTCAAAATCATTATTGACAAACGAACACCATAAACACATATACAATTATATGAACAAATGATTCAAAACAATGGAGAAAGAAAGTGGCCCAAATATTGAAAATTTACCATACCCTCTCTCTTCTTCTCCAAATGCCCAACAAGAATATAACAAGATTTTATTATTCACTTCAACCAAATGAATGTTCAAGGGAATGAGAATGTAGATTTTGTGATTTCATTAAGTAGAGAAGAAGATGATGATAACAAAATCAGCATGGAGGCATACCTACCATGGTCGAGTCGTTCATATAGGAGGGAAGAAGATTAGGGCTGAAAGGAAATTAAAATGAAAATTAAGGCAATAATAACATTTTCCATACAAAGATATTTTAGTATTTTACAAATTCTATTTTCCATGTTTAATAACTTTGGACCTTTTAACTAAAAACCTTAGTTCTTGGTCTTCTTAAACTATTATTTAGTTTGACTAAACATTTTAAATCAACTCCCCATGATTTTTATTGGACATTTCTTTCTCATACTTTGCATACCTTTTTTTTTTTAGTGATTTTAGAATGTGAATCATTTTTCAATAAAATAGGGTATCACTTCTTCATGTCAAATCACATTTATGCTAATTATAACTTTAAATCATGTGACCTTTTACCCACAATCTATAATCTTTAGTTTCCTTTTCATATCCTAGAAAAATGCATTTTAATGATCTGAGGTCTAATTTACCTTTACCGTGGTGTACATAAGGTACACACCTAAAGATCCTAAACTTAGAAATTTAGAATAATCCATAGGTTTTCCACTCTACATGTACTAAGGTGTCTTAAATTTTACAGCTCTAGAATCACTTCTATTTATAACGTAAGTTTTTATTTCTCCCCAAAGTAACTTGATCAAACCTGAGCCTAGTAGCATTATCTCACTTTATTTAACAAAATCCTATTCATCCTTTCAACTATACTATTTTGCTAGGGTGTGTATGTAACATGTTTGTGCTTCAAAATATCATATTCTATGTAATAAAGGTCAAGTCGAAGTTGTAAATCTTTCTTGGGAATGTATGTAACACTGAATTTTGAAAAATGTTGTACATTACTCGTTGTAAACCCAATATTTTTCAAAATTCAACATTTATGCTAGTGATTATAACGTACGGCATTTTTCAAAGTTCAATGGCCAAAACTCGACATTTTAAATTTTGTTGAGCAATCGAAATCATGGACCTAAATTCAGTAATCAAAACTTGAGATTTTAAACTTCAGTAATCAATCAAAGATATGAACCTAAATTCAGTGACCATTGAACAATTAACTTGTTATATATATAATTATCTTCTAAGCATCGGTGTTTATCTTATGTTAAGTATCGATGAAATAGCACATAAATTGATGAATAAGTTAATGGTGGTGTCCGGAGTGTAGACGAAGGTGAGGACTTGATCATGGCGGTGGTGGAGAATGCTGGGATTAGCATAGTGACATCATCAAATTAGGACGACTCAAATGCCCTGTCGAAAATTACCTTCGTTGATCATATCCAATCGCCTTTTACAAAGGCCACTGCTAATCTGAAGTCAACAAAACCCACCGATAATGGTTATCACCTGATACAGTTCAATAGCCATCAACATCAGCAGCATAGGACAAACGATTATGGAGTCTCAAAGCTCATCTAAGCAGTAATCCGGTAGGGAAGAAAATGAATAATGGATATGATGAAGAAAAAGGATTTAAGAGAGAGATGAGGGATTTAGCATAAATGCTACCTAAATTGAATTCGCAGGTTGAGGAATGTGTGTTGTCATCACTGGCTATGAATGGTGCTGATGGCCACCATAGATTGACGATAGCCTCACCACATGAGGTGACTATAGCGGCTCTTCAGGTATAATACTAACGGTTTGTAATATAATAGTCTGTTGATGCTAGAGCCCCAAACAGGAATTCTTTTAGAAGGGCTGGTATTTTATCTGATTATTTTTACCCCTTTTCAAAGTAAAATATTCTTTTGTTAAGTATTATTATTTATGAATTATCATCTATTTCGTTAAAAAAAATTGCAAAATATAAAGAATTAAATGAGGAATATTTGACAAAAATTATGGAGAGCAGTGATTTATTACCTGAATTGTTGAGGTTCATTTTTATTGAATATTAAGAAGATTAGTACTACGTTTTTTATTCTAAAGCAGCTGTATTCCCTATTGAATATCGATTTATTACCTGAATTGTTGAGGTTCATTTTTATTGAATATTAAGTAGATTAGTACGACGTTTTTTATTCTAAAGCAGCTGTATTCCCTATTAAATTCATTTTTTTTCTTCATGTAGTTATATTAACACTAGTAACAAAGTTTAAATACAGTATTTGATTTTGTTGATTGTGTTTGTATGACATTTGATATACAGAAGAAAACTGGCTACGGGTATGAGGAGTGGGAGATTAATAGTAGAACAAGCATAACTCAAAGAGAAGATGTAATTCAGAGGACAATGTACGTTTCTAACAGTGGTCATCAGATAAAAAGAGTTTAGGGTGTACAGGCTTGTGTTATTTTTCCACACTAATCACGCAGAAGGTTGTGGATGTCACATTTGCACGATCCTAATTCTGTACTTCATTTTGCCTTCATTGAATTTACTAATCAAGGTATGTCAACAATCTGTTTGTTTGGTTACGTAATTTTTTAAAAACCCGGGATCATATTATATTACTTTGCATTATCAAATGGCTTACAAAAGACGCAAGGAATGCTTTGACTTTGGTGGAAACCATGTTGGGATTATCCAATGAGATAGCTGCATTCGAAAAATGTAGTTTTACCAGTTAATCCAACATTCTTGCGAAGGTTGAGAAATTTGTTATAGTCTTTAATTACTTTGGATACGTGTCATAACTTGAATCGGTTAAAGGAATCGAAAACTAATATCTAATTTCTTTTATTTGATAGTCTGAGGACGAAAGAGAGATGCATGCAAGAACTATTCACTGTACAAACATTTGTTTATTTTGATCCATTCTTTTTATAGTTCTGTATATCCATGTGTATATTTTCGTAGATCTTTTGATGTTTATGCATCTTTTTTAGTCCTTCTCGGTCAACCCCGTGAACAAAAGAAGACCTCATTTTAATTTGATGTTATTGAGTAGTTTCCTACAGTTATAGTTATGAATGGCCTTTTCATTATTGATGGATATTGATTGCGCATTTTTGTAGGCAAACTAACCATACATAATAGAAATAGATAGGCAAATCTATTAATAGTAAGTTAGCCTGCCTTTTCCTCGAAAGGACAATGGTTATATGTAATGGGTCATTATGGGGCTTATCAAATTGCATGATTGAATATGTGCATTGGTTTTTTCATTTTGCATTTTCATGGCACACTTTATTTGGTTTCAAAAAAGAAATTTTACTGGTAGTTTCACTGCATTTATGTTGGCAGTGCAAACCATTGCTGTTAGCACTTGTAGATGCGTACTACCGTTTCCTTTCCTTTTCTTCTCTATCTCTATTTTTCTTTTATCTTTCTTTTTATCATTTTTTTCTCGAGTGGGCAGAAGGTACTAATTTTTGACAATGTATCCTTGAAATTATTTTATGTTTTTTTTTTAATTTAAGATCTTCTCTATAAGTTCATTCAATGGGATTGTTTATCAGTTACATCAATTTCATGTGCTTATGCTCTACTTTGTTGTACTTTTGTAATGAACTGTAGTCTGTGTAGCATGAACATTTTAACTAGGATAGCATGTTTGTGTCCGACACTTGTCGGACGCATGTCGATACCGACACTCTATAATAATCATTTTCTTTTTTACTATAGCTGTTGACATCCGAACTCTGATCTAATAAAAACAGTTTGCTAACCCCAACTCAGTTAAATGTGAGTTCGGTCCTTACTCCCAAGTCGGACAATCCTTTCGTTATCTCAGAAAAATATCATGATTACTCCCTGTCACATCACCCTATCAATCAAATACACTTGCTACAGGTGACATCATCACTACTCGGAACAACCAATCCTAAGTCCTCAACCTCCAGCCCCTTGCAGGTCATCATTACCTGGGGAAAATATTGACACATGGCCACCGGCGTCATCGACCAATCACAAGAGAATCCGGCAACCCAAGTTTCGAGCTCGGTACTGTTGCTGATTTGACTGATTTGATGTATTGTCGGTTGGAACTATGTATAAATAGCTGAATAGGACTCTTGTAAAGGGTAAGTGATTTCATACAACAACTCAAAGCATAATTACACTCTCTAAACATATTTTGTGGTCTTTTTTCAACAATAAATTGCCCTTTTTTCCTTAAAATTGGCTTAAGATTAGCCTTACTAATTTTGACGTCAACAGTTTGGCGCTAGAAGGAGGGCCCTAATTGTGAAAAATAGTCTCATTCTCTCCACAAAATCCGAGAGCCATGAGTCGTAGTTCAAGTTCCAGAAATTCATCTCATACCCATCCTCACGAAACGAACACACCACCAAGTTCTCCACGACGGCTGGACCCTCAAATGACAGCCATGAGGGAAGCCCTCGAAAAATTGACGAACGTAGTGGGACGGTTGGAAAGGAGTCAAGCCCACTCGTCCCCACCAGATACCGAAGTGGAATTCCTCATAAGGACACAGGCAAGGCGTCCCCCCACCAGGAGGACTCTCCACTTTTCAAGGGAAGAATCCTCCAGAAGCCGAACTGACGAGCTCAGAAGTAAGGAACCTAAGGCGAGAAGGACTGCAATCGTGTTCGACAGATTGGGGACCTAGCAATCACTGACTCCTATGCAAGGACAAGCCGACTTGAAACATTCGTTGGAACAAGCAGAACCCAAACTAAGCGCACTTAAAAAATGCATTGCCGACCTGGAAGCTAAAAACAAAGGTGGCACTGAAGATTACCTAACAAAACGACATTCTCCCTTCACTGGGGATGTCCTTATGGAACCACTGCCTGAAAAATTGAAAATCCTGCAGGTCGTCGCATACGAAGGGGATGGTGATCCCCTCAGCCACCTTGAAAAATACACTTCGTGGATGGAACTACAGGAGGCAAGCAACGCAATTATGTGCCGGGCACTCCCCCTAACTCTAGGAGACAAAGCTCAAAGATGGTTTAGGAGACTGCACGAGAGGTTGGTAAAAAATTGGAATGATCTGGCCACGGCGTTCTTTCCCCAATTCATGGGCTCCAATGCCAGAACAACACCAGGAATTTTGTCGTAAGCTGCTATTGTTATCTAAGACAAGGTTCTGTTCTCATCCTCCCTTGCCAAAGGAAGGCTAGCTCACTGCCCTCTTAAGTCAAGAGTTAGTAATGAAGAGCTAGGTGATAACCAGAATGAGTAATGCATATGAGACCTTCCCAGAACCCAGAGCATAGCCTTAGACTGATTCTTCTATCCTTTGTGCTTGCCCATTGACTTACTGGTCACGTTACCGAGTTCCTAGAAATGAGCAAGGAAGGATTTTGAGCCCCAATGTCCTCGAATAGCGTAGAATGTCGTTTTCGAAGTTAGATCACCGATTTGTAATCTGATCCTGATCTTGCCCAGTGAGCATCAAGCAAGGAAAATGTGAATCCCTCAAAAGCTATCTGAGCAGGTTCAATAAGCAATCCATGGAAATGGAAAAAATATCTGACGATACGGCACTCATGGCTGTACTAGTAGGATTGAGGCCCAAAATAAGATTCTGGTGGTCAGTACACGAGGACGGTCCAAGGACTTATCATGAGTTCCTTAATCGAGCTGAGAAATACATAAGTGCTGAAGAAGCGACCTCTGACCAAGAGAAGGAGACCTCCAAACCCGACCTCAACAACATAGCGAAGGAGAAAAAACCAAGTCACAGTCCCCAGCCCGAAAGAAAGAAGGACAGGAGAGAAAGAGAACGTCATAGGGCTCAACCATAAAAATTTCGAGAGTACCACCCACTTAAAGCCTCCTTAGAAGAGGTATTCATGCAAGCCAATGTGAAAGAGGCATTTCACAGACCTATGATCCTAAAGGACGGACAGACAGAACAACATCAGGGACGATACTGCCGATATCACAGGATAGTGGGTCATAACACTAATAACTGCCGAGACTTAAAAGAGAAAGTTGAGTCCCTAATTCGAGGAGGTCAGTTATAGGAGTTTGTTGCCAAGCCAAAGAAGCAGATCGACCTACGACGCAGCAGTCGCTGCTGCAGGGGCCTCCCACGTGAGTTCAATAGGCAGTTCCCAACAGTAATTCACCCTCACATGCTGAAATCAAGATGATGGTTGGCGGAAATAAGTATGTGAAGGATCCAGAAGGGCAAGACAAAGACAAGCCCGAAGTGCAAGAACCATGCCGAACTACTGGGATCCAATCCCTAGGATTGGTATAGACCCTGAATGCTTCTGGCTTACAGAAGAAGATTCTGAAAGAATCCTTCAGGACCAGAGTGACGCCCTAGTGGTTACAATGACTGTCACTGGAGTAAAAGTTCACCGAACTTTGGTAGACAATAGAAGTTCGATCAACATACTGTACTCACGAACTTTAAGGCAGTTGGAAATATCAGAACTCTATCTCCAACCATATCCAAAGAAACTACAGGGATTCTCTGGGGATCCTATTGAAGCACGAGGTCAGATCGTCCTTATCGTGGAGATGGGCGAAGCTCCTAGCCAAAGAAGGATCCTAATAGATTTTGTGGTGGTCAATTTGTCATCCAATTATAATGCAATATTGGGATGACCCATTTTGCACGAACTGAAAGCTGCTACCTCAATTTACCATTATTACATGAAATTTCCCACTCCTTACGGGACAGGAATTATCTGAGGGGATCAAGCTACTGCGAGGGCTTGCAATGTCGACCTGCTAAGGCCACAAGTCAACATGCTAAGGGGCAGGACGAACATGCAAGCCAGGGAGGCCAGATTGAAAAGACCAGTCGTTGCGAATCTCTCAGAGATCGGCATAACTGAGAAGAACCTCAAAAAAGCCACAGATGAGCAACTGTCCTTTGAGGAGAAGGAGACAGACCCACATCCTTACCCCGGAGTTCTGGTTATCTCGTTACCTGTGGCCGGGGTAACCATCCCCAAAGTCTTGGTAGATACAGGAAGCGCTCTGAACATCCTATTCAGTAATACCCTTAAATGGATGAGTATCCCTGCTATCTTCCTTCGACCATACCAGAATATGGTCCTAGGATTAAGTGGAGCCTTGACCTCTGTCAAAGGATCAATCAAACTCAAAGTTGAGTCAGGATCAGCATCCCGACAGGTGAAGACAAACTCCGAGTTCGTGGTATTCGACACTCCCTTCCCTTATGATGCTGTGATGGGACAACCCCTGCTCTTCGACTGAGAGTAGCAGTTTCCCTATATCACTATTCTATCAATTTTTCCACACCACGTGGTGTGGGTGAAGTCAAAGGGAAAAGGGAGCTCGCCAAAAGATGTTAGTGGAAAGCCTGTACCAATCATCAACGCAACCCCCCGACAGTGCATATGGCGAACATATGGAATCCGAACATATGTATTCGAGGTCGGATCCTCACAAAGAGAGGTAGGTAGTGGATGCCTGGGTCCAAACTGGGAAGGCCCCTATCTGGTGATAGAGGTCTTGCCAAAGGAGGTATATGAACTGGAAAACTTGGGGGGTAGACCCTTACCCTATCCTTGGAATGCTAAACACCTCAAGCAGTTCTATCGGTGGACAGGAAAGTTCATAAAACTCGCTTGTAATGCCAATCACATCAATAAAAAAGAACTTCCTATTTTTGAACACTTTATTCAGCATTCTGTCAGAATATTACAAAGCCCCGCTCCCTACGCAGGCCGATCTAAGGCTATACGTGTTACCCTTAGTGTACATTCCTCCTAAGGAATCTTACAAAACCCTGCTCCCTACGCAGGCCGATCTAAGGTCATAAGTGCTGCGACCCTTAGTGAAAATTCCTCCTAAGGAATCTTACAAAGCCCTGCTCCCTACGCAAGTCGATCTAAGGTTGTACGTGTTATCCTTAGTGAACATTCCTCCTAAGGAATCTTACAAAGCCCTGCTCTATATGCAGTCCGATCTAAGGCTGTACATGTTATCCTTAGTGGACATTCCTCCTAAGGAATATTACAAAGCCCTGCTCCATACGCAGGTCGATCTAAGATTATTCAACAAAAATTCTTCCTAAGGAATTCTACGAAATTACGCAGGCCAAGCTAAGGTCATACACGCTACGATACCTAGTGAGAATTCTTCCTTAGAAATTCTCAAATATCCTTCCCTACATGCAATTCCAGCTAAGGTCGTATGTGCTACGACACTTAGTCAAAATATCCTATTAGGAAGGCAAATTTAGCTAAGTTTGTGAAGTATTGTCGCATATAAACGAGATCGTTGCTAAAGAAATCATGCTAAAACATAAAGAGTCATCCATTCCAAACAAAATGTCATGAAACATCGAAATGAAGTTCACAAATGAGTCAAAACATATTACAAAATACCAAATATCTTCAAAACAACCTCCTAGGGGTTTTTTGTTTTGGACTGGGGCGCTACCCTCAACATTCTGGTTAGCAGGAGATATCCGAACTCCAGCAACTTAGGACAATTTGCGCAGCTCCTCCCTCTGCTCGCTTGGTGCTTCGTCCAGAAAGGTAGCATCGAACTCCGACCTCTCCCTTCGGACGTGCTTTATTAACTCTTCCAAAGCCACTACATACACATCTTGGGCTAAGGCGTCAAACTCTGGAGATTCTCTCCAAGCCTCCACAGCTCTGATACCTTTGGCCTCAGCCTCTTCAGTTCTCTTTATTGCATCCTATGTCCTCGCATGAGCTTCCTCCATCTTCTTGATAGCCTCTAACGTATGAGAACGCTCCTCGAAAACCAGGGCCCTCAGCTCTTCCGACCGCGCCCTCTCCTCTTCAACTCTCTTCTTCTCCATCTCGACCCTCTTGTTGGCCTTCTCACCCTAAATCTTTAAAGCAGCAAACTCATCCTGGAGATTCTGTTCAGAGGTCAGCACAGCATTCAGCTCCTCACCCATTTGTTGAAGCTGACCTCTATAATCCTCCTCCTTGGCAATAAGATTTTCTTTTTCCTCATTGATACTCTCATATAATTTTACGGCCTGATCCTTGGCCTCAAGTAGCTTGTCGAGTTCGGCTTTTACCTGAGAAGGTCAAAAAGCAAATACAGTTAAAACACGATAAGTAACAAAATCTCTGAAACACAAGCATTGCTGAGGACAAGTACCTTGTCCGCCACCGACATCATGTACAAGATGGAGCGATGACCATGAAATTGAGCAGTGACAATGGCCTCCCCAACAGGCATCTCCCCCAAGAAGTTCTGTTCCTTTCCCCCAACTCCTTGTGAGAAGGTTGGCTGATTCACACAAAGGTGAGGGGAAGGCCACAGTAGTCTCCCTCGACAGAGAAAGAGCACGTAGAAAATCCAGAAATATCTCTGACCGATGGCCCAACAAACTCTCCAAGCTTGGTCGCTGCAAGTCCGAACACTGATCTTACGACCTGGCTGAGCTGGTGGAGGTAACAACTGGGGCAGTTGGAGGAGTTGAGGATGACAATGTAACTGTCGGTATTTCGGACACCAAAATCATGGGCACAACAATTGGGACCACCGGCGACGGAGTAACCTCCTCGACCGACCTAGGAGGAGAAGCAACTGGAGTAAAGGCTACCTGAGGAAGAGGGTTGCCAGACGTTGCAGATCGGTTCCTCTTAAGTGGTTGGGAGTCATCCTCAGTCCCCTCCAAATGACTCTCCACAGATGGAACCTCCCTCTTCTTCCCCTTAGCCACAGCTGCTGCTTTAGCCACTTTATAGCCTAGCAACTCGGAGTGACGTGCTGAAATGGGAAGAAAGATATAATATTATTATCATATGTATTAATAATAATAACAAAGGCTTAATCTTCACCTGAGCTAGACGGGACCGAGGTAGACACTCTCAGAGCAGATGGACTAGATGCCCGCACTTGCACTAAACCAGCCTGAAAGAGGTTTGAATCTGAGATCACAAACTTACAAGATCTCTGCCTCTTTGGCAACTTCCTTATCACATCAGTTCTCTTTTGTATATCTCTTGTCAAATTCTCCTTTCTATAATCTGCCAAAAAGGATAAAGGTTAATATCGCATCAGTGCAAACCTCATCAAAGAAGCAAATTTATAATCACTTACACAATGAATGGTAAAGCCTAGGGACCACATCCTCTCTGTCCGCCTCGGAAGGATGGAATTGCCATTCTCCGGACACATAGAAAAACTCATCTTTCCATTTTTTGATTGAGGATGGAGTATCTAAGACTAACAAGCCTCCAGTTCTTGGCCTAACGCTGGTATACCACCAGCCAGAGTTCTTCCCATCCTCCTTGAAAGTGAAAAGGGAGTTGAACTGTTGGACGCTCAGTTCGGGATTTTCCAATTTATCCCAGAGAATGAGGGTGGCGATCAGTGTTCGCCATCCGTTCGGTCATAACTGAGTGGGAGCTATGCCCCAGAAAGAAAGGAACTTACGGACTATTCTAGGGAATGGAAGCCTAAGTCCTACTTGAAGAATGGCAGAGTTAAGAGCGACGCATCCCTCTGGGGGAACGCCAGCTTGGTCAGACGGTTCTGGCATTATCATGATCATCGAACTCGGAATGGCGTACTTAGCTCGCCAGCTCCAGCATATCACCCGTAACAACGGATTTATAAAAACTAGCCCCCTACTCACCTGAGTTATTCCCCTGGCTGACCTTGTGAGATTCAGCCCTTTTTCCCATTGAATCCTCACTCCCCGACCTCATATTCACAGGATGTCCTAGGTCTATTGGATTAACTACGGAAAGAGGGATTGGGGTCAAGACTTTCTGACAACTGGACGAAGAACTAGGAGAGGGTGGGACAGATTCTTCTTCGTGATTCT